GGAAATAAGCATTTGAACCAGAAAAGAAAGGTCTGTCCCTGTCTTAAAATAAATAAATCTTAGGTGCCACAGAGAAAACATACTGAGGCCGTGGGACAGGAAAGTTGTGCGTGCTGGAACTCGGTAGCACCCTGCCTGCCTTGACGAGGCATTGATGGACAAAAAGGACTCCTGTCTGCACAGGTGTAGACAGATTCAGCTGGAAAGATAGTCATTTGCTTGCAGAATGGGGAGAGGAGATCTGTAAATCTTTATTAGAACACTTGGGCATGTCTGTTTTGTGGATGGATCCTATCACAGATACGGGCAATAGACCAACTTCTTTTGTCTTAGCTGGATGCCTCTGAGTAAACCGTTGGCTGTTCAGTACACAACAGAGGAAGAATTCCTTCTTGCCAGATCCCAAGTGGAAACGGTTACATCCATGTGAAAATATTTCCTATACAGAACTAGCCTTGAGCTCGTGGGAGCCGCTCTTAGAAAAGAGTAAGGATTTTTTACAGGTCAGCTGGTGGGTTTAAGAGATGATTAACTATTGCCCAGAGAAGTTGTGGCTGCCCCATCCCTGGAAGTGTTCAAGGCCAGGTTGGATGAGGCTTTGAGCAACCTGGTGTAGTGGAGGGTGTCCCTGCCCATGGCAGGGGGGTTGGAACTGGATGATCTTTGAGGTCCCTTCCAACCCAAACCATTCCATGATTATAGGAATGAAAATAGAAAGAATGTTTTAAAACACCCTCCTCTTCAATTTGCATTTCCCAGTCCAACAGTAACGAAGCAGTGCTGGAATAGGTAACACCTTTCTGTTGGTAAAAAAGAAACCATCCCTGAGCTGCAACGTGGTGCTGCGTGCTGGGCCTGGGGAGAAAAGGAACGGAGAGGGATGCTGCTGCTCGCTCCAAGCATCACCAAATGAGCTGTGCTTAAGGGAGTACGTGAACTTCTCCTGGCTGGGGCTGCATGTCATCCCCCTGAGGTCGTTTGACCAGTAGAGCTAAAAATATTGCTTGTGGAGCTGGGGTTCTGAGTCCTTGTCCCTCTGAATCTTGTCTCGTGTGATGGGAAGCCTGGGTAACTTTTTATGATCTGCGATCTCGGTGGGACGGTTTTGCTAAAGGGAGGTTCAAATCTCTGGCTCAGTGGAAATGAAATCATCAGTTCAGTAATCTCTGATCATTTTTTTAGCGTGACATTTCTTCTTGCTTTGATAATTGGGAAAAAAATAAGAAGCTCTGTGCAGCGTGCTGAGATCTCACCAGTCTTTCATCACACATTTAATCCTACACAGCATGCAAGAGGAAGGGAGAAGAGATCAAACTGTAATAAGAGTAGAAATTAACCCAGGTTTTCCATTTCATGAGAAATTCCATAATTGGCATGACGCTTTTCATTGTGAACGTTTCTGTAAAACAAAATTCCAAATAATACTTGGATTTTCTTCAAGAGGGCTGTTTGGTTTTTTGAGTCACTGGTCAATTTTTCCTTTTAAAGAGCATGAAACTATTTTATGGCATTACTGAAATCTTCGTTTGAGACTGATCCTTTATCTTTATGAAATTTGTCACACTCAGGTTTGTAATTGAAGGTCTGAACCTGGGAAATCATTTGACTCCGTGCTTCACTTCACCTCTGTTCTTATGTCCCATTGAAATTAATGGGATTTAAGCATGTGCTTAAATCAGGACCATCAATAATTAAAGACTAGAAAAGTAATTATTGAATTGGAATATCAGAGGGTGATCAAAAATGGATTTGAGCAACAATTTATGGAAATCATTAAGCATGTGAAGAAAGCATTTTTGCCTTAGGGATATTATGGGGCTGAAGCAGCAGTAATCTGTAGCTTTGCTATAAAACACAGTCGACAACATAAGACCAACTTAACAGTCACTTGCTTGTTTCTACTATTTTATTAACTCTTTAAAGTAAAAAACCCTTTTGCAAAACCCTTCTGGCACTTCAGAACGTGCAGGAAATGGGAGCATGATGTACAATTTTATATTGATATAGTGAAACATGGTAGTATTTTTGATATTGATTGAGGTCACTTGTTTCTGCTGCTGTGGCTATGCAGCTCTGGAAGTCTAACTGCAAGAATTTAGGCTTGACTTTTTTGTGATTTGTACTAGAGATCTGATGGGAAGCACTAAATGTTGCCCAGTTCCTTCCTGGATTGCTGCAATGATTCCATCCTGTAAAGTTAATTGTACCCCTTGCAAACATGGACATCTTCTTTTTGCTTAAAAATTTATCACTCAGGCTCCAAAGCTGCAAAAATTTTGCTTAATACATCTTTTAGAACAACTTCAAGCATGTAAGTGTTTTGTATTTAGTTATGGCAGGCGCAAAACTGTAGGATATTAGGAAATACTCACATTTAGGGCGTTGAAATAACTTTCTGCTGGGTGGAAATTTGCATTATTGCTCCTGAAACTGTGTTCTGTGCTTACACATCATCTGCACAGTCACTCTGAACGTGATTGAAGAACGGGCAGCCCCGTTCCCACCGGTATCCTGCCATCCTTTTGCACAAGATCCTGAAATCCAGGGCTGTGAGTGCCGGCGTTGGGCTGATTGACCTGGGAATGGTGGCAGCGGCTGTGGCCTCCAGGCATCTGCACCCACCCCTCTCCTGGAGGTTGCTGCTGCTTCCGCAGGGATAGCTCGCAGGGATAGCTCGGCTGGTTGCTTAGCAGCTGCGGAACTGCTGCAGTTGGAAGGTAGGAGAGGTGGTTCTGGGTTACCTTTCTGCACCACGCTCGGACCGTGCCGGCTCCACGAGTTGTCCTGCAGCGCAGGAAGAACCTCCCAGAGAGATGGTGGGGCAAGAAACGCCGCTGCTGGCACCAGGTAAGCTCGTTAATCAACTTCCTTGCTAGCTATTAGCAGCCTCGTTAGTGTGATGGTGTAGAAGGGGTTTCATCAGAAGGAAGGAGAACGCTGTTCTGCACAGCTGATCCTGCACACCTTGTCACACGGACCAGTGGTTTGTTGACCCCAGCTATTCCTGTCTTGTAAATTTGGCTCTTAATTCACGACTCAAAGAGACTGCAAATCTACAGTTTAACGTTTAAAATCACGGATCTCTCCACCTGGATCTGTCTATTGTGGAATTAATGGCAGAATTAACCATCGTTTAACAAAGAGGTTGATTCTTTGTGTGGGCAACGTATGAGGTTGTATTGAAACGTGCTGTTGATGCAGTGGGCAGAAGCAAATAAAGGATTGCAGCAATTTCAGAGTCTGTTGTTTCTTGCACTGGTGACTAAACCTTGCTCAGCTGAAGGTCGTACTGGCAACTTACCAAGAGCTGCTTGATTGCAAAAGATGGAGAAACTGGAAAGGCTGTCATCTTTTACAGGATAATTAGATGTGTGCTCCTGGTTTTGTTTTTCTCCTTTAGACGAAAAGTAAAATGACATAACTTAGGGAAATTACGAAGCGTTTGTGTCCTGTGTAGGTACCCTCCATGCAGGCTTGTGAAATGGGTGATTTCTTGTGATGGGAAAGCAGAGATGATGGGCACAGTGCACAGTCTGGAGTTGTCTTAAATAAATTTGGACAGAACATAGCCAGTACACTTAGTCATGGGTCTTACGTTTACAACTGCCTTGCAAGCTTTGGGATATTAATAGAAAAGTGATGCTTATAACTTTCCTGATAAACAAATGAACTCAGCAGGATGGTGACTGGGACACGTGGGAGTAGGCCATGCTTTTTAGTAGCTCCTGTGAAGAGAGCATCGGGTCCAGAGCTCCACCACAGCAGATCTGGGATCACGCTTTACACCTGCTTTCCCCATGGAAAACTGAAACGATGCCATGTCCCCTCTTACGCCGTGCATTTCCCTGCTTTTCTGGTTGCCAGGCATCTCTCTGTCGATTTTCATCCTTAGCTCTGCCTGTGAGTGGCTGGGTAACTCAGAACGATCTGATTCCTTCCTCTGATGTCTTCTTCTGAGTCCTTGCAGTGCTACGGGAGCACCTGGGCTTGTACAGCAAGGCGAACACCTACTGCATCCTTTCTCGTTTCCCTCGTCCTTTCCCTAGGGAGGCAACTGCATGTGGAGTGTGAAGCAGAGCTTGTAATGCTGATAGAGAATTTTTTCTTTTTTAAATATGGCCATGCTGTTGATTTTAGGAAGGAAAGACTGGAGAAGTGTTTTGAACTTGAGGTAGAAGGTGGGGAGGTCTATGGTCACTGAGTCAGTGTCCACGTCTGTATAAGAGGAATAGTCTCGTTTTAGGGGCTGCGTGGGAGTGTCGAGAGGATTAATGACTGTTCATAAAGTGCTTTGTCCTGTAAACTGCTGCATGATTACAACGTTTTTTATTGATCATAACAGGCCATGAAGCATTTAGAAGTAGTCATTAGGTATTAAAAGCTTCACAAAGCAAATGATGCTGTGCTGCCATGGTTCCTTCCCTGTCCCCTGGAGCAGTGTGTATCTTGTCAATATTTTAATTGTGGAAATGATATGCACTCAGGAGTAAATCTTCAGCTAGTGTTACTCATCCTAGATTGTTTTTTTTTTTAATTCAGCTGAAGATTTGCCTGGGGTGTCTGACAGCAATTTCTCAAGGTTCAGTTCTGCCTTCAGATCCCTGATTGTGTGTTCTTCTCTCTATGTGGGATCTGATTTCACGCTATTTATACATTTTGTAGCTTACATTTGAGCAAAGACACCTTGTGTACGAAAATGCTACAAAATCCTTGTGAGACAGGTGGAAGCTAAAAGCTTTGGATGGGTTCCATCGTGCTGGGCCATATCCAAACCCACAGTTGAATAATTAAAACAGGAGTGCTAACAGCTGGATTTGAGCACGAATGGCTGTCTACAAAATAAAACATGAAAATATTACGGAGGCACTTGCATCGTTTTCAAACGTTTTGAGAAGAAGAATGGCCGGATCTGTTGTTTCTGGACGAGTTTTCGTTTTCCTCATCTAACCCCAATTGGTGAGGAGCTTGGAAAACCGTGATTCTCTTTTCTGTTCACGCAGGGGAGGAGCTGGATCGTGAAGAGGAGTTATGAAGACTTCAGAGTACTCGATAAGCATCTTCACCTGTGTATTTATGACCGGCGCTTCTCCCAGCTCTCCGAGCTCCCTCGCTCCGATGCCCTGAAGGACAGTCCAGAGGTAAATTCCCAGCTCTGTCAACAGTTACAGCACAGTCACCAGCAAGGGGTTGGAAGACGTTTTCAAGTGTGTACAAAGTAGTTTTAATGCAGCCTGGGTTAGGTTTAGAAATTGAGTAGTAGTAATAAGATCAGAGTGTGTTTTCGACCCCTAATTTCAGTGATCCAAAGGGAAATGCCGTGCAAATTCATACGAATTAATGTGCTGCTAAATGTGGAATGGTTATGGAGAGCTTTGAGAAAGAAGCTTTCCTGTTAGTACCTTAGATAAGAATTTTATTCTGTCTTTGGAAGCTTTTTCAACACTGTGGGTATTTTCTGACTTAGTGTTAGCAACTTAACAGTCCTGGGAAATCATGCTGTTCCAGGACTGCAAGAGTAATACCATTTGGAATTATGTTTATAAACTGAAAATTACTGAAGCTGTTTTTTAAGAGCGTTTGCATTAGTGCTTTATTTAAATGGTCTTTAAAAAGCTTAAAGAGTGTTTTTTCCCCTGATTGAATAAGAGGTGTTTTTCATTTCTTGACTTACTGTCTTCACCTGGAATACGATGAGCTGGAATTCCTTCGGCCGCTTGGCTCTTGGTGATTTAGAGATTTATTCGTGTCCCAAATAATCTCCTGGGAAGCAGCAGGTGCATCTCGACTGCATGGTTTTGGAAGATGTGGAGAGGGAGGCAGTGTAATGCGTGGCCACGGAGGTTGTTGGAGCCAGAGGAGCATTACAAAGCTGTTTGGCCTCAGTCTGTCTGCGGGAAGAGCCTGTGTCACGGTGACGGACGGTGCCCATTGCTGCATTTCACAGGTCACTTATCTCTGGGACCTGTAGTTGTACGTTTGCCCCCTACCATCAAGCACAAGCACGGAAAAGTCTCGACGTGCTGTGTCGGAAAGCTGATGTTGCCTGCCCGGGAGATGTGTAGCTGCAAAGGGAAATGAGGGAATTGAGGCCATTCCAAGCAGAATCTGTCCAAGATCTATAAATCAGAATCTGTGTTATTTCAGTGCTGAGCAAGTGAGGATTGATTGCTTCTGAGCAACCCGCAGTGGCTGGAACCAGTGCCCCACTGAAGTCTGCAGGGCTTTTGCCATTGGATATAGGAAGTTGGTACTGCGGTCCCATCACTCATCAGAGTCAGATTTATCAGTTGCTTTGGTTTAATGCAGGTCATTTCTGAAGACAATTTAAAGTTCCTAGTCTCTTAAATTCAGCAAAAGAAGAAATAGTCAGGATAATGAATTCCTGCATTCTTTTTTTTTTTTTTTAATTATATTTTAGGCATTCCTCTCTCTTACATCTTTATTTGTACAACTGATTTAATATGTACTTTATAGCATGAGGCTCAAAATCTGCATTTTAACTGGAAGCACAGTAGACGTGAAGGTGTTGAACAGCTCTAGTGCTCTGTGAAACGTAATTCTGCAGCTGTGTGTTGTCTCGTACTATATTTTTTATTTTGAACAGATGTTTGAGGAGAGCAATGTTTTAAACAGCCCTGCAAGCTCTGGGCTACAGCCCTGCTACAACACTTTGCTGTCACTGTGAAGCTTTGGAAGGACCTCACTAGCTTCTCTTTAGCAAAAGCAAGTTTGCTCTTACAGAAGGGACATCACTAAATGTATTTTTAAAACTCCTTTTGAATATTTGAAACACCACTGTCCAAGTCTGAAGAAGCCCCTCCAAACTATTGTGTATTAACAGAAAAACTGCCTCCCTCTCTCTTTTTTTTTGTTCCAGCTTGTCACCCAGATGCTGATGGCTTACCTCTCTCTCTTTTTTTGTTCCAGCTTGTCACCCAGATGCTGATGGCTTACCTCTCTCTCTTTTTTTGTTCCAGCTTGTCACCCAGATGCTGATGGCTTACCTCTCACGTCTCTCGGCGATCGCAGGCAACAAGATCAACTGTGGGCCTGCTCTCACATGGATGGAGGTACAGTACGAAGCTCAGGTCGTTCTTTGTTTCCTCTCCTGCTAAGCAAGCCACAAATGTGCTCTCCTGCCTTTCCAGAAAGAGGTACAATCCTTCCAGACCTGTTGTTGTCACTGAATGGCTATCCCCAAAGCTTTGTCTCCCTGTTACAGCCATGTAGGTGGCCACAAAAGGTAGAGCACAAACAGAATCAGAGCCAATGTCAGGAATATAGGAGCTTGGATTTTGCCACTCAAAGACACATCGTTTTCCTGATGTTGCTAAAATAAAAGGAGGTGGCAGTTCTAGTGAAGATTGAGTCAAGGGGCCACCTGGGAAGGTCCAGTTCCTGGCTGAAGTCTCTAAGTAGTAGGTTGCAGAAAGCACACCCGTGTTCTTACAGTCCGTGTTCTTACACTCCTTTTTGCCAAGGCAACGCAAGAAAGATGGGGAGAGGCTGTTCAGGAGGGCCAGTTGTGATAGGACAAGGGGTAATGGTTTTAAAATAGAGGGAGGTAGATTCAGGTTGGATATTAGGAAAAAATTTTTTACCATGAGAGTTGTAGAACACTGGAACAGGTTGCCCAGAGAGGTGGTGGATGCTCCATCCCTGGAGACGTTCAAGGCCAGGTTGGACGAGGCCCTGAGCAACCTGATCTAGTTGGAGATATCCCTGTTCCTTGCAGGGGGGTTGGACTAGATGACCTTTGAAGGTCCCTTCCAGCCCTAACCATTCTATGATTCTAACACCGCAAGCGTGACAAGTTTCTAAAACCATCAGAGCTGTCTCAGTTATAGTGTTTGTCTGCCCTCTTTTTTTTTTTTATTTTTCCTTGCCATAGCTGCAGAAACAATAAATATTATCTGCTCCTGCTTGCCGTCCCTGTTGGTTACACTGCTCAACAGAGCCTGCGTTGTGCTTGCAGTGGCACTGTTTGTATATTGTGACTTGCAGCTGCAGCTTTGGTTCCTCTGTTAATGGGCTTCTACCATCTTAAACAATAGACCTTACTGGGCAATGAGTGTTGGGAAGAATGGGGCTGAGTGATGAAGGCCACCTGCCTGTGTCAGCGGTGGCGTTGCTGGTTAGTCTGGGTGGAGGTAATGTGTGTCTTTCCAGTGCCTGGTAACATCCCTGCACACCAGGAGTAGGAACAACTATTATTAGACCGTTGCAATTCATTTTTAAATGGTTGTGATAAGGATTGAGTGCATTTTCCTGCAAATTTTCCCCGCTGATACGCCGCTCACCCTGCAATCCTTTGGGATGAGGGACATCTTGGAAACCTTCTCAACACGAAGGGAGGAAGGAAGTTGTAGAGGAAAATGAAACTGTAGAATTGACAGCAACACAGCAGACCTAGAGATTAATTATAGCAAATTTGCAGTGCAGAATGACCTTTCTGATTCACCAAGAGCCTTACAAAATTCTACACGCGCACAGAAATACAGGAATTTTGAAAGTAGGCTGATGGTTGCAGCAAGGACTGGAAGCTGTGTTTTCTTAAGAAATAAAAGGGTGGGAGAAAGCTGACAGCATTTCCTCCTTGCCACAGTGCCTCTTCTTGAGCATTAATTCCACTTTGCAGAGAGTTTTTGTAGTATTTTTGTATTGCCATTTTAAGTCCTTCAGGAAAAACAGTACGATTTGGTGTTAAAGGGAGGTGTAAACATCCACTCTCATGTTACTTTTGTACACAAAGATGGACAAATACAGCGTTTTTCCCCATTACTTGGATGGGGACATACGACCTTCTGAAATACTCTGTGAATTGTTCTGCCTTTTGCTTTCTGTGTGTGCAGAGCCCTGCACTGTCTCTCCGTGCTTCTCTCCTCGAGGGGCCCCTGAGCTCTGCTGTCTCTGTGCATCAGCTTGAAGTCTCTGCCATGTATGAGCACCAGTAAACCACGTCCTCGCTTGTCCTCAGCTGCCTCACCCTCTCCTCTGCTCTTTATTTCAGATTGATAACAAGGGGAACCACCTGCTAGTCCATGAGGAATCATCTATTAACGTTCCTGCTATCGCTGCTGCCCATGTTATTAAGAGATACATTGCTCAGGCAGCAGATGAACTGTCCTTTGAGGTAAATAATTAAAGGAGCTGACATTCCTTGTTGTCATGTCCAGAAGAGTGTAACACGTGTGTCTCTGTGTGTGCGTGCACGCATCAGGAACATATTCAGACATTTTCAGAACGTTCTGTGAGCTGAAGCTTAGAAGATCCGATTAAATACTAGATTTGCATTGGGTTGGATACAGGAGGGAGTTCAGTCATCTTAAAAATATCTTCTGATCAAACACATGCTGCCAAGTGCTCTGAGCAGCAGCAGACCTTGCATAGTTTGTGCTGCAGAGTGGCTCAAAAGTATGTTGTATCTGTTCAGGAAGACTGTCCACATGTGTCTGTGTGTGGATACGTGCCAATTTAATTATTCGTTGGCCAGTTTGCACAACCTGTGTTCCTGTTAGCAAGTCTCTGTCTAAAATCATTTTAAAGAACTTGGACTCCCATGAAAAGTAAAGAACCAGAGTGTCAAAGAATTGGTCCTTAAAGGGCAGGTGGTAATCTGTTACTATTCTGAAAATCTTACTTGATGCAGAGTAGGGGCTGCTGTGGAGCAAGGATGTGGAAGATCAGGCCCTGGAAGGCTTTGGATGTCTGACTCTTGTCTGTTCTACCCAGAAAGCAGCGTTTTCTGCTCTGATGGTTGACGTGCAGTGGTACTCTCAACGCAACATTCACAGTTTTACACAAAAAAAGTGTGAAGGAAAACAGTTAGTGCCCAAAGCAGTTTTTGTGATCGCATTCTCAGCGTGTAGCTGACGTAAAAATAATAGTGATAGTCCAGTGCTGCCAGGGTTTGGTTCATGTTCAAAACCGAGGTGATGATTAGTGTACACCAAAGAACCAGGCTAATCAGAAAGACGTGTGGGTCTGTCACCTTCCCATCTCAAGTGCATGCAGTACAGGATTCGGGCTGCTTGACAGTGTCTTGATAATTAAAAAAAGCACAAGGATGGCACTCCCTGCTTGTAAATCTTCCAGCCCTGTGCCAGCAGGCTAACTTGGCCTTGCAACTGTCACGCAGGCCAGCAGGTTGTTAAGAGGTATGGTATGCAAGCGGGGACACCAAGGCACGTGTGGCTTTCCAAGTTTGCACAGGGAGAAGCCTTGGCAGAACAGAAGTGGAATAAGATCCGTTATTTCACAGTGCTGGGTTCTGTTCCTTAACCCAAACTAGCTCTCGATGTTTAGGCTACTGTTGATGTCTAATAAGCAGCTGCAGAAGTAGCCAACTGGCATTTGCTCCCCAGTACCGAGGAAAATACCTGGCTCCTCTCCTCACCGTGGTGACAGCAGTTTCCTTAATGGAAATTTGCTTTGCTGTTGGTTTGCTGTTCCCTTGAGGAAATCACTTCACTTCCCTGTGTCTCAGTTATCCCTGTGTGAAAAATGGGGATATGTTATCTTCTTTGTAAAGCACTTGGAGATCCATCACTGTAAAACATCTGGTAAAAATTGGGCGTTACTGTTAACAATTTTTGCTGTACCCAGCTGCAGTATTTATTTAGGTTCTGCCCCTTCTGCTCTGGCTTATTTTCTGTTATGCAGATTTTGATTCCCACCAAGCCAAATTTAGTATTGATTATACTGATTTCCTTTTGAACTATTGCAGTATTGCATTTTATTACGGGAAAGAGGTTTCAGAAACCCTGTTTCGTCTCCTTGGTCGTTTTCCTTTCTGTGGCTGTACCACCACCCCACCTCTCCTCTGTTAATTAAGAAAAGCATGTCTTGGTCAGTTTGTGAACTACAAAGGGAGCCCTTAACTTTTTGCTGTGAAGGGAGACAAGCAGACATCTGTCGGTGCCTACACACACATATATAGGACATGTAGTAAAAATTATTTCAGCTACTTGAGAATGTTTTCCAAAGTGTTCCACACTGTCACTGCTTGCTGATGTCTGCAGTTTAATCAGAACGCTTCTGTACCCTTTGGCAGAGAGCCTGCTGCTTTTGAGAACTGTTTCCTTATGAGCAGCTGTATCCTGTGTGTTGTGTAATGCAGTAACTCTTCTTCCTCACAGTTTGACTTTAGAGAGGCTGATGCCTCAAGATTGGTGTCGGTGCAGTCGCTCACCCGTTTTACTTTTTTTTTTTTGCCAGTGCTAAAGGATGCAATGTTTGAACTGTGCTTTCCTCCTGACCACACTGCAAGCTGTGATTGATGCTGCCAATCTTTTGCAGGTGGGAGACATAGTGTCTGTTATTGATATGCCCCCGAAGGAGCTGACCACGTGGTGGAGAGGCAAACATGGATTTCAGGTAGGCACAAGCATCAGACTTGAGAGTGCAACTGAAATAAAGGCAGGAAACTCAGCAGTGTGTTCACAGAACTGCTGTGCCTGCGCAGGGTTATGCGTTGGTGTAAGAGGACTTCCCCTTTCTCTCCAGGCTTGGGCTGCAGCAGACACATGGTCTTCCTAGAAGTTATCTGCCTACCTAAGTGTGCGAGTTAGGGGTAGCCATGACCCTTTGATCGACAGCTGGCCTGATGTTAGTGGAAGCTGATGTTGCACCCCCTCCCAGGCAGCTGACACTGTTATTCAAATCATCCCGTTCCCTCCACTGAAACTAGATCAGGCAGAACAGAGAGGATTTGGAGAAAGCCGGTGGATAAGATGCTGCCACTGACCTGGACAAGGCACCCCACTAACCTGTGCTTTCGTGTCTGTGATTATTGGGTAGTGTTAATATTACTGGTCTCTCCAGATGTTATAGGAGAAAGATTCAGACTGAATTTTCAAAAGATCCTAAACATACCTGGGAATTAGGTACCAAAACTTTGGCATCAAAATAGCACTTTCCTTCCCAGAGAGTTGTTATTCCCTAGCTTGGATTTTCTCATTAGGAAATATAATTTTTAAAAAAGTCTCTATTTTCGAACAAAACCCAAAAGCTACTGAAGGTTGGGGTAACTGACTTTCCGTCTCCTCACACTGTAGTGTCTCATGTTTCAGCTCCTTCCAAGGAGGAGGGATTTTCATACTGCAGTTGCTGTGTGTGAGTAGGTGGAATCATGAGTTTGCCCTGGAGAGGGTCAGAATTGATCAGACACTTGTATATTTTGGCCTGGGAAGTCTTCTCAAAGTACCTCAGATTTTCCCTGACAGACCTTTCTGTGCCAGACCCAGATTGTGGTTCTGCTTTAATACCAGGACTGTGTGCAGCTGGATCTCCAAACACTGCAGATCCCATCTGAATGGAGTGTTAGTTATATGAGTACATTTCCGTAGCCAGAGCACGTGAGATACAGCTTTTGTTGGCTTTACATCAGGTGTGGGACTCAGATAACATCTCGTTTGTAAAATCGGAGCAGCGTGGACATCTGATACCTGCTCTGAAATGAAATTTGTTTCTAGAGTTAACACACTGATATTTCTTGGGCAAACTTGACTGTTCTTCTGCTTTTGAATTGTGTTAAGTCTTTGTGGGACTTTTGTTCTGATCTTAGAAGCCCTGAAGCTCTATTTGGTGTGCTATCAAAAATTAATGAAATGCTGTAGCCCTGCTTGGAATGATCAGGCTGTGCCACATTTAACTTCCAAATGAATCAATGAAACAAAACTCCTTTGTGATCTGCACACGAGTGCAGACGCTTTGCACAAAGCTGGTTGATTGCAAGTGGATGGTATCCCCATCCCATTCTTCAGTGCAAGCTCCCTGCTTGCCATCAGGCTGGTTGAAATTGTGACGAGATCTGAAGAGCATCACTGGTGATTAAAGACACGAGAAGCAAGGGAGCTCTTCTGCACTTTGTCACTGCCTTCTGTCTCTCGGGTCAGAGCAATCCCGTTGTGCTTTCCCAGCATAAGGATGTGTTGATGAGCGAACCACGTGAAAAGGGGTTTGTCTGTACCCGTGCACGGCCACTCTACTGACACACAACAGATCCGAACAGCTGCAGAAATAGAGCACCATATTTTGGCTCACTAGAAAATTAGGGGTGGAATAATCTTGCCTCTTAAATTATAAGCCAGAGTCTTTCACGATGTGAATCAGATCGCGGCCGCTGAGCTGCACTGTTGGAAATGTCAACACACTGAAGTGTGTCCAGAGGAGGCCACGAAGATGATCAGAGGGCTGGAGCACCTTTCCTATGAGGACAGGCTGAAAGAGTTGGGGCTGTTCAGCCTGGAGAAGAGGAGGCTCCGGGGTGACCTTATAGCGGTCTTCCAGTACCTCAAGGGGGCCTACAGGAAAGATGGGGAGAGGCTGTTCAGGAGGGCCAGTTGTGATAGGACAAGGGGTAATGGTTTTAAAATAGAGGGAGGTAGATTCAGGTTGGATATTAGGAAAAAATTTTTTACCATGAGAGTTGTAGAACACTGGAACAGGTTGCCCAGAGAGGTGGTGGATGCTCCATCCCTGGAGACGTTCAAGGCCAGGTTGGACGAGGCCCTGAGCAACCTGATCTAGTTGGAGATATCCCTGTTCCTTGCAGGGGGGTTGGACTAGATGACCTTTGAAGGTCCCTTCCAGCCCTGACCATTCTATGATTCTATGATTCTATGATATGCAGCAGCCGTGCTGCATATTCCAGTAGCTCTGAGGGTGTGTTTGCACAAAGGCAGAACATGAATTTGGTGGGTTTTAAGAAGTTCCTGCCTGCCAGCCGGGATAGGGAAGCAGACCAGACCATCCGTACGCTTCCTGCTCCTGCGGACTGCGGAGTGAAGCTCGTTAGCGCAGAGGTGGTTTGCAGCAGCTGTATCTCCGTGATTGCTGCGTAAACATCTCTTCACACAACCATGGATCTGGTTTGCAGAGAGCTGCAGTTTTCCTGTGAATTGACAGTTTTTGTCATTTCTTTGAAATGTGCTTATCAGAGCTTTTCATTTCCATGGAAGACCATCAGCTACCAAGAGATGCCAATTTTTGGTGTTGTGCAAAGAGAGCCGAGGGGGTTTTAACCTGCATCTCAAGTTGAAGGCCCATAAGCTATGAGTGTACAGAAAAAGTACTTTTCCTGTTGTAGTGGAGTTTTTTGACCATACCAACTGCTGCAGTGAGAAGAGAATTCAGAGAAAGGAAATTTCTCTCTGGTGTTGATACACCAGACCCAGAGATGTGTTCCAGTTCAGTATAGAAGTGTACTTGATGAATACTTAAAAAGAGTGTATAGGTGAAAAAGGTTGGTATAGAAATATGTGTAAGAACTGATGAAGCTGTGCAGCCTTTAAAGCATTTATTACAGGCAAACAATTCTGTTCCTGTTTAGGAACAAGAGCCATTGTAAACATGATAGCAATCTGTTGATCCAGTCATTTTAATTAATAAAATAAATCAGCCAAGACTGTCTTGCCAGATCGTTGTGCTTCTGAGATCAGATAAAAAGAGGAGGTCCAAACACCAAACATCTGGACGGTTTGTTCATGTTACTTCTCAGGTTTTTGCTTTGTGCTAGGAAGGGAGCACGGTTTTATCACAGGGGCCACAGCTTACGTAGTAAATCACGTTCCGATAGGAGGAGAACAAGGTTTTGCCAAACATGGAAAAAAATTACACGTTGACTTGAAAGAACTTACCTAGTTTTGTGCATTTAAACTAGCTGTGACTTGTGTATGTCTGTGCAGAAGTGTGTTCCTTTCAGCACATCCATCTAGTAGAATAAATAAAGGGTTTCTCTGTGTTATGCAAATGAGCAAGAGGCAGGTCTCCAGATCTCGAGAGGAAAGCAAATCTGATAGGTTCAGTTTCAACTGCAGCTTTGATTCAGCGTGGAAGTCCTGTCCTTCAGGAGTGAATCACCGTTTTTGTCATCCTTCAGATTTCCACCTTACAGTATTCTCCTAATACCTGATCTAATGACTGCTCTGCAAGACACTTAATCCTGTGCAGAACAAAACAGCCCAGTAGGCTTCTTATCATTTGCTCCAGTTAAAGTAAAATGATTTTAAAGACGTTTTTCCTCAAGCCTTTTTCTTTTCAAATGCCCTTAGTGAGTCACTGCTTTCGCTGTAAGATTGTTACCTAAATTACAGCCACCTCCACATTAACAGCCTTCCAGCCCTCTTTGTTCTTCCCTTCTTCTTCTTCATGCTTTGTCTTTTCAATCAGGACCTCTGTTCCAGGCAGCTGAATCATTGAGGACAGGCCCTTTTTTGATGCACAACTGCCTTTTGATGTTCGGAATAATTCTGTCTTTTGGGGGATAGTTTCATTAGTCGCGCTACTGCACAACAGCACAGCTGCTGGGGGGGACACAAAATGGGATCGGGCATAACCAGGCTGGGCTGGACTTTTTTTGGAATCAGCCTGTGCTTACAGGAGCTTGAACTGGTTGGGAAACTGCAGGCCCTTGCTTTCGAACCGCGTTCCGTGCTGGACCCGAACACGGGCTTTAAGACTGGATGGATTTGCCATCCAGAGCACGTTTTTGGGGCTCATGTCACTTTGGAAACACCAGCTCTTAAATGAGAAGCCCAAGTTTGATTTCTGGTTCACATCCATCGATTTGGGAACTCTCCATCCGGCTGGGGAACGGCATCACCTGCAGAACAGGCGGCGTGCGAGAGCCCAGTGGCCGTGATAACAATCCTCTTCCTCCTCTAACTGGTGCCCCTCTGAAATGGGTGAGTACTCCATAACAGGAGCTGCACTGGTACCAGCTGTGCTTTGGGAAGCTAAGGGAGCCCTGCTCTGTGCCCTCGCCACTGCTCTGGGGTTACCTGGCAAACAACGTAAGGAAAATCCTGCTCCTGAAAGCCAAACGTGCCATGAAAAGTTGATGTTTCACTCTTAGGTTTTCAAATGATGTTTAACCCCAACTTCAGCCTATGTCAAAACCAATCAAAATGTCTCAAACGACATTTCATTTGCCGTTTCTGTTGCTGCTACTTTCTCATTTGTTTAAATTCCCTCCTCGAACACGGAAAATTATTACTGTTACTGTGGCTGTTCCCCTGAAAGCCTCCTGTATTTTCCAGTTTTAGCAGACGCTGGAATAAAAGTGCAAAAAAGATCTAGTAGCTGTTGCAGGAAGGTTTGCATGCAACAGTAGCCCATGTTTTCCTCCCCTGCTTAAGGTGCATGGTGATTTTTTTAACCTTTAGATGACCTTGTATTTATCTAAATATATACTACCCTTGCTATTAATTTTCGTGCGTTGCCAAATCCTTTAATCCTGGCTCAAGCCCTAATAGTGCCTTGCTACATCTGTTGAGATTAACTCTTGGACTAAACTCATTTATTTATACAAAATCATGGAAAACTTTCCATGGGAGGAAAAACAGCATCTTTTGAGTGGGTGGGAATGAGGCACAAGTTTGAGGTTATGACGCTGAAGATGATCTCTTGGGTGTTAGAATAAATAAGAAAAAATTAGAATAAATAAGTCAGAAAATGTAAGTCACCAGAACTGTTACCAGCAAGTTAACATCAGAGAGCTTGTCAACACTAGCAAAAGTAAAAATTCTCCTTCCTTGAAAAATCCCTTCTAATTACTCGTTGTGAACATGGCAAAAATGATACATTGAGAACAGATGTAGTGTTTTATTTGGGAAAGGTTCCAAGATATCTAGTAGTGGTGATGTAATCATCTTGGGTCTTCTTTCATTTCTAAATTCATGTTCAGTGTTGTATGTTGCATCCAGAAACAAGGAAAAACATTATGTTACCAGTCAGAGGCAAACGAGCTTTTGATTACAGCATGGGATTTTGGGCTGGATCTAGAGCCACCATTTTTCCCTTATGATTAACAGAAGGTCGGTGTCCAAGTACTTCAGGTTTCTTTACACATCTCAGACATAGACATTGTGGGCACTTAAAAAAAGTTCTCAAAGCATTGAGAATGAAAGAAACTCTTTCACTTCGGCTGTGGAGTCTCCCAAATGTGTCGTTTGGGTGATGGGGCTGAGACTTTCACTGGATGTGTACATTTTCCTAATTGAAGCATTGCCTCCTGCATCTTGTGCACAGGAAACGTCCCAAGAGAGACTCTTAGCTATGGGAAAGTTATTTAAAAAAACATTGAAAATGCATTTTGTTTAAATTTTTTGTTTTGTTTAAATACCAGTACTTTTTGTGTATGTACCAATGAGCCTGTTTCTCAACATCTCCTCAGCAAAGCAGCATCACTGAGCTACGAGCTGCCTGCTGAAGGTCCCCTGCATGCCATGCTGGTGTTCCTGCTGGTTTTCTTGTGCCAGTTGGCATATTTCTATCTATAAACTGCCCAAAAATCACCACTACGTTATGTAACTCCGGGATACCCTCTCCTTGCAAAACTGGCACACCCAGCTGAGTGGTTGGTTGGGTGAAGCCACACGTTATCTTGGGTTTTGGATGGCTTCTTCTGTTCTTGAGCAGAAGCATCATGCACGGGCCAGTCGCAATTACAGGGAGCTGTAGATCAGAGAAGCAAGGTCTGCTGATCCATAGTGCTGCTGTTCCCGTGCTGTCATAATCTTAACAAAAAGCATATTCCGAGTCTTTAACAGTAAGCGTGATGGATTACAGTTTGTCCTCTTCCTTGGACAAAATGCTGCCTTGTCGGATTTGGAGGGTGTGGGAAGGAGAAGCTATTGGTATTACTGTTAACTGTGACTTCCCTTAGGGAATTTGGAAGAGTTTCAAAGTTTGGAGTGTTTACCTGGATACACCGTGCATGCCACTGGATGAAAATCAACTCGGACTAAGAAAAGAGAGATTTTTATTTTATTTTTTTTCTTGGAGACAAAAGATAACTGTGTAAGATGAATAAATAGAGAAGGGACTGTTTGCCAGACTCGCAGTGCTGACTGCCTTGTGGCTCCAGTGACTTTCATAGATGTTCTGGCATGACTGGCAGAAGTCCTGGCCCACTTCTTCTGTTTCCATGAGCTTGGGGCCCACCCGCTGGCCCTTGGCCACGCATTGTTGCAGCGCTTGACCGAACCGTGGCCGCGTGAAGCGACTTGATGCTTTCAGCTGTCCGAATCACATGCCTGACACGGGGCATGGCTTAGATGGGGTGTCTCAGGAGGGTGGTGGTGCTTGAATTACATCTCACAATACAGAAGCTGTGGTGGGCGAGGAGGTAGGATATAAGAGAAGAAGGTCTGGAAATACAGACTTGAGGTTAGAAGTTGCCAAAGGTCTGGCTTGACTTTCACCTGGGGTGAGAGCAAAAAGACAGACACTGTGGAGGGAAGGTTGGGATGCTGGGAAGTGTAAAACTCCTACCTGGCCACATCTCAGCCTGAATCCTTAAGCAGTGCAAAGGAAATAATTCCACTTCTCCCCAGACACGGAGACCTTCGAGTGGCGTGTGAATTTCTGCAGGCACATCTTAGTTAAACAAAACTTTATGATCCTCCCCACACTCTAACCCCTCTGTTAGACAGTCACTCCAGCATTTCTGAGGGAAAATGCCATGTTAAAGGGCAGGGCAGGAACGCTGCAAATTAGCATTAGAAAGTAGTTGGTCACCGGACCTTGCTGGGAATTGGGCACTTGGAGATGTCTTCCTTGGCAGCAGAGAAGCTGCATTCAGTGTCCATCAAAATTTTTTGCATAGCACTGCTATGTGGTAGCCCAGGTCATGGCTGTTGAAGCATCTTCAAATATTTGCCAAGGAGGTTCTGGCCTCTGGGGTTCGTTTCTGGAATGGATATTGGGCACTATTCTCCCTTGTCCTTTGCTGATAGGGAAACTGAGGCACAATGGTTGCGCTGGCTTCTGTGCGTTCAGGAGCAGACACAAGAGTACACACCAGGAGTTCTGGCTCTTGTGAAAAGATTTTTTTGCTACATCATGCAGTCTCTTCTGAGAATACTGGTATTTATTTCTAGCCGAATTAACTGGGTTCTTACAAATGCAGAACTTGTTTTGCTCCGTGTATATTTTGTTAAAGCTGTTCTCAGTTCTGAGATTGAATTGAATTTAATTTAACTTAAAGCACATGGAACTTTTTTAGCAAGGTCTTTAAACACACCTGATTTGGATGCTTCAGGAGTGCTGCTCAGCGCACGCAGTAAGGCTGGGACACATTAGAGAGCTTTGTGCATTCAGAGTGCCTTCTCCTAATTTATGACACGAGAGTATTTTTCTGTATTACAGACATGCCAATATATTGAGCCATATTTGAGTCCGTTTTTCTGAAGGAATAACATGTTTAAAGTGCTACTGAATATGGTATTTTGACAGTGAAAAAAAGTCAAGCGTCGGTGAGATGAGTGTGCAGATAATTGAGATGCTGAGAGCTGAAACATCTCGCTCTCTTCATTAAATTTCATGTAACATACATGCAGCCAGGTGCAGGAAACCCAGCTAAAGTCTTTCTCTCTCCCTCCTTCCACTGGAAATTTAAGCACACTTGTCCTCTCCTCTCTCTGCTGCAAGTTGAGTATCTCTGATCCTGTGTACCAAGCTGAGAAAACAGACTTAAAACCGTATTTTACAGAACTAATTATTTGGGTTGTAGAATTTTTGGCTGCATCCTCCTGAAAAATTATTACTCTTAATGCTGGTCATTTTATGTTGGATAACGTTATGGGGCATCAGGCAAGCAGAGTTTGAGGAAAATATGCAATAGTTGCTGGTTTACCAGTTCAGATCTTAAAAACACTGTGTTTAGTGTTCTGCCTCTCTTTCTGTTTTTACTACAGGTTGGATTTTTTCCCAGTGAGTGTGTTGAACTAATTAACGACAAAGTTCCTCAGTCCGTGACCAATTCTGTGCCAAAACCAGGTATGTATTTTATGTTTTATGATGCAGTAAAGTAAAATAGAGTTATCTTTTTGGTGTCCCATGTTTAATACCTCCTTTATACATCCCGTGTTATTCTCTGTGTGTTGATCATCCCTTATACGTACCACGTTATCCTTTCTATGTGTTGATCATCTCCACATTACCTCTTTCTGAATAGTTGCCACTGTTGAATGTCTTTCACCTGCAGTGTTTTGTAAGCTACTATCAATGTCCATCTCCTGGATTTTAGGCTTGTAAGAATTTTCGATTTTAGATTTAAAATCTCCAAGATTTTAGGCTTGAAAGAATTTAAGATTTCTTCAGCAATCTGTCATTAGTGATTCTGTGCAACATCCCCGTTCTTGGTGTCCAGAGAGTGTTGTATGTTAGGTTTTTTTCATACAGAGCATACATGTGACCTAAAAATGTTTATGCTGACTTAGGATAAATAGATTAATTAGGTACTGGAACCTTCTTTCTGTTTGGGGATTGATGGAGAAAGTCAGATATAGCAGAACTTGAAATCCTAATTGCTTCTACTCTGGGTATGTGGCTCCATCTACTTCCTACTACTGCCCTCTGGACGTTTTGTATTGTATGAAATACAGGAAAATTGATACTAAGCTCTGCTGATGAAAGGAAAAATAAACAGAACATGGGATCTTGGAACTGATTCTACTGTCATCCTAGTATACACTGGAAATGATTGCAGTTAGATGTGCTGGCATAAATAAGATCTCTGCAGAATTTAGTGGTGGTGAACTTTTTTTTTCCTGATTATTTTTTTTTTTAATACCAATATATTAATATATACAAAGATATATCTTTTGTATCAAGAGAAGCAGTTTGAAATCGCTTTCTTAAAACATTATGCAGCCGGCAAGTTGAGTTAGAAAGCGAGTTAACTGGTATTCTTTTCATCTATTTTCTCTATTTTAATGATGTTCCTTATCTTCTAAGATTGCTGACTGGAGGGTTTAAAACAAATAGATGGGATTCAAAAGTTTTACTGAAGGAAATGGGTTTTATCAGATCTTATGTTACAGCTTGGGACTTTTGGTTCAGTGGTAGAAAGTCAAGACCACTCGTAAGCTATCAGTGCACTGCATTAATCCGACAGCTTAGGGAAATAGTTTTCTGAGCCATTGGCATCTCCAGCCTTTGTTATTCCTGGGAACATGCAAATGTATTTGCTAGCATCGGTGTCACAGGGATCACTAGCAATTCAAAGCGCTGCAGCAGGTGGTTATTCCATAAATCCAGTGTCTGCCTTTTGTTGGTTGAAGTTGATCTCGAAATGCTGTGATCAGTCACTTCTCTGTACTCTTGTCAGCTGAAGCATGTAGACAAGGGCAACTTTAACTCTAAATACAGGCTGGGCTGATAAATACAATCCTAAGCAAGTGTTTATTATTAAATATGGCTCAGGCAATTAAATGGCATGAGCTGCTAGTGGGTAGTTTCTTGCCATGCTTTAATGAGAGATAACGAAGCAGCAGAGATGAATAGATTCTGTTTGGCTTTAACAGCACGCTGGGGGGAGGATTTCCTCTTTCAGGCCTGGGAAATGTTTGTTATAAAATTGATACCAAAAGCCCAAGCCCTATTAAAAGCCATAAGTTGAAAGATATTGCCAAGTCATGAGGCTGTCCCCGTTGACCTTCCCTGATAGCTGTACTGCGCGTACAATTAAAGGCAAAAGGCTGCTCCAGAAGAGCACTAATGAGCTTTCAGATGTCAGGATTGCTAGAACAAATGTTGCAGCTGTTTCTGTGATCCTTCCCTGCCCTTCCTTTGCACGCAGGATTGATGATACCATTTGTTTGTAGCGTTAGGCTTCCTGGTTTTTCCACCGTGGGAAGTAACCGTGCTTGGATGGTGGAGGCAGAAGTCTGGAAGGCTCTTCCTCGGTTCCTACAGAAGTTGTGATTTGCAGGGAGCTAGGAGTCAGGGAGGGAGGTTCCTGTAGTTAAGGAGTATTGAATGTGATGTTGGAGAACTCGAGGAACCTCTCTGCCTGGAGGGAAAAATGATGTGTGAAATACAGAAGGAGTGAGAAGATGAAGGGGGAGGAAGGAGTTTCGGTTTCCTGGGCTGTGTTACCATACAGCTGCACAAGCTGAATGCCAGGGAGGTGGCACAGGGACAGAAATGAGTTGCTGGAGCACCCTGAGCGGCTTCACTGCTGCAAAATGTGAAATTGGATCTTTCCAAGTGGATCCTCCAGAGCCTCGCTAGGAATTGCATTGCCGGGATGATGCAGAAGAGCTTGTGTTTCCCTCACCCGTATTCCTTCCATGCATGTAGTGTCTTCTCATCTTTGGTTTAAACGTATAGGGAGTTTCTCATACACTTAAATATCCACATCAATTAATTTTCTCCTTTTGCCTGTATTGGAAACCTCAGATTGGCTTTTCCCAAGGAACAGAAACGTTTCTAAAAGGAACCACTTGGAGCTTTTGTCCTTACCCGACATTAGCAGGGTATTTCCTCTGGAATTAATGTGAAGTTTTAGATTTGGGCTTGATGAGACATACTTATCAACGTGCAAACTTTATTTTCTTTAATCCAAATATCATGTGTAGAGCATCTAGGACATTCTGTATCTGCAGCATAAAGCTCTTTGCCATGAAGGAATTTACAAACATAGAACTCCTTAGTTTTTTAATTGTCCATAGATTTGGCGGGGTTGAGTAATCTGATGAAAAGCAGATGGAAAGCAAAGAACTTCCTGCCCTGCGTTTTTATTATTATTTATAATTAAAGGTTTTGATTTGCAGAAGTGATGGGGACAGCATTTTAATAGAACCATAAAATATTGCAATGGTCTATAACGCAGTACAAATAATGACTGAAGTTCAAATGAAAATGAAACACAGGGAATGGGAGAGGAGGGTTGGCTCGAAGTGCAAACTCTGCTTTTAGAAACAATATTTTCTTTGACTGTGGAAGTACATGCTTGCATCAGTGCCTGAGATAAATGAGAGTAAATGAACCATAGAGGAAAACTGTCCCTTTTATTCAATTCTGAAAGTTCAAAGTAATAAGAAAGAACATTGGCTTTGCCTTGAGTCACCTCCGAAATGCATTTGGCAATGAAGTTTGGATTGTCAAAGCTATCATCTCCCAAAATACCTCTGGGCGCAGGGATGCTCGCAGAGATGTGTGTGTGCGTGCATGCACACACAAGCTAGCGCCTGAAAATTGAAGTCGGTTGCATTATTGCTTAACAAATTCTTTTTTTTTTTCCTTTTTCAAAATTTGTACACGTCAGCAAGTCATACAAGGAGAGCAAGGGGTGTTGGTCAGGAGGTCTTGGAAGTTACCTGTTGAGTGGTATTTTCCCTTCAGTATTGTACTAAGCCCGTGCTCCCATTTTTTCATGTTCAGTGCTGTGAGAAAATGCCTTTTTTTTCAGGTGGGATGTTCCTGACTCTATCTATTTAGGCAAAAAACACTGTAAAGATCCAGGAAGGTAGCGTGGGCTCATCAAACCCCAAATTTCTTGAGCACTTTCCTTTTTTCTGAGTTCTTTCTGTATTCTCACTCAAATGTAACACTCTAATGGTAACTTCTTAGCCTGATTATATTGAATTGATATCTAATATTTCATACCTAATACCATTTACTGACAATTTAGCTGAATTTCAGTACTACAATAGATGGAATCAGCTTGTATTTATAAAGATTTTTAAAGAGATACAGGATGAAAGGTTGCATTTGGAGATATTTGGTGCAAAGTGCATCTTTTAAATCTTCATTGTGCTGCTTAGAAGAAAAAAAAGTGAATAGCTCTTTCGTTTTTTCCTTCTAAGTGAATTGCCTGTAGATTGTGACTGTGTTTGCTCTTCTCATTCACTTCTGTCCATCTCCAATCTTCTCTAGGAACAGTGTGTGTGTGTCTTCATATTGTCCCTGCTCGTCACTGTGGCACAGTTAACAGCAGCATGTCTCAGCTCTCTGTTTCAGTCCGTTCTTTCTCAGAATTCTGGATATTTGTGGTTTAACAATATTTAAAATCACGTAGCACGCTTCTCCTCATATGTGCAATTTGTTTCATGCCTTTTGCTGACAAGTAGCATCTCGCTGGGTGCCACATCTTCACTGCGGTGTGCCTTGGCATGGTAATTTGGTGAAGGTTCCTGAACATGGTTGCTGCTGGGGAGCATCTGCTTTCAGTGGGGAAACAAAAAATAAAGCTTAAGAAATGAGGGAGAAGAAAGTAATGTTTCCCTTTCCTTTTTTTCAAAACAATGAGCTTTTTTAAAACTTTAGGGGTCGTTCTCACCACTTCCTCAGTCTTGCTTAGGGTATAAGAATGAATAACCTCAGGAGCTCTGCCCAACTTTTATGGAGTTTTTTTCAAATTCCTGTCTCATCCATTCATTTAATTTAGATTTAACAGGTAAATTGGGTAATTAGAAGGAGCTCTGCCCAACTTTTATGGAGTTTTTTTCAAATTCCTGTCTCATCCATTCATTTAATTTAGATTTAACAGGTAAATGTACTCAGGATACGCAACTAAGGGCACGTTAAAGGGTACTTGGTAGTATTAAGCTTGTAATACTTGTTGTAAATTAATTATTTTTTTAAAACATATTAATCTGGGTCAACATGCCAGATACAAATAATCCACTGAACTTCAGGAGGATGGAAATTTAGGTCTGGATCAGGCAACAGACTCCGTTCTGACCTCCTGAAGACTCTGGTACAGTGCTGAACGAATTAATTTTAACTGCAGAAATGCAAATTGAGTTACATTGATTTTGTTAGGGCTGTTGCAATTATAACTGACTCTTAAGAGGTCATGCCTGGTTTGAAACAGGCTAGTTGCTAATCCCTGGGAAAAAAAAGATTGTGCAGTTGTTTTTTTCTTAAATAAAAATAAAAATCAGGGAGGATGAGGTGCCAATAGAACTTAGATTCTGCAGATGCCCAGGTTGAACAGCCATTTGACACTAATGTCTTAATTAAGTGTTTTTGTAAAGAAAATATGGCAA